CTCCCTAACTTATACACACGCTTGCACAATCGGCTTCTAGCCTCGACACTGTGCATAACAGTTTCGGTTTTTCTTCTACCTGTCATACAGTAAGTTGCAAAACCGCCCTCACCCTTTGTGCAAGCGACGATTTGAAAAGACCCCTGTCGCCTCAGGGTGCCCCTTGCTAGACTCCGCCAATCACAGAAACCCAAGATATACTAGTCCTAAGTTAGCTAGCTCGCGATTACTACTGTACTCTGTATACAGAACAGGTCTAACTAATTATTACAACATATTAACTTATACGCTGTAAGAGGCTAGACTCGAGAGAGTGCTATACTAAAGGTAACGCTAGGTGTAACAAGTTTATATTCGATAGAGAGCTAATAGCTATCTACTCAAGAGCTTATATCTATGTACGGATTAGACAAAGATGCTCTTCCATTGATCTAAGCGTTATGTCTGAGCGCTGCGTCCGAACGCGGTTCAGATGGCCAGAATCTGGGTGCTATGACCTACACCCAGATTCTGTGATCGCGCACCAGGATATCATCGAGGAGCTCTACTAAAGGACGTCTAGCCCGTTACATTAGCAATGTTCAGAGTCCAGCATGGACGTATGCAGCCCACAGCAGGGGACCACCAAGTCGGAATGGGCTTTTCGAAACACCCCAGTCGCTCTGTCGGGGCTCGCCGCCATCACCATCCGCCCTGGCCTCCTCTATCTGCATTGCCTCTATATCTTTGTTCCGAAGCTCCCGAATGGCTCGATGCAGTCCCCGGCATATGGCCATGTCTGTCATTCCTTCCTCCGCGAGCGTTGTATACAGGTCGTGTGCCACGTCGACACAATGCTTGTCTGATACCTCCCAGAGCGTTCCTATAACATGCCGGAAGCCGGCAAGTTGGCATGCGCTGACAAGGTGGATCTCTTCATCTGCAAGTGTATCTGCTTGGTTCACTTTAGTCGAGCAGGCCGATAGATAAGCAAGAAATGGCGAGCTCTCTTGGAGCCTACAGTCGCGAAGATTAGCCACGGTGATGGGAGCTTCGTCCTTGCCCAGAACTAGACAGCTCTCTGATGGCTCGGAAGGATTCGAGCGTCCGTGGCTAGCGAAATGAAAGATCTTGCCTGTGCGCAGATGTGCTAGGATCTCCTCCCGTTTAGCAGCTGGCTTTTTGGGGTTCAATTTCAGGCTTGGGCATAGTTTTTCTAGCATTTCTACTTCCTGCCTAGCAAAGTGCAACCCTGAATCTGGTACAGTGATGAGTACAGCGTCTTCTTGCGCTTGCTTCGCAGGAGGTTGGCCGTGTTGTCGCCGTCCATAGACCAAAGCCTTGATAGATGAGCTATAGGAGGATATTGCTCTATCTAGCACGGTGTCGGCAGAGGATTTGGAGTGTCGACCAGCAGCATGGAGGGGCAGCTGGCCGAGCTGTCCTGTCGGGATCCACCAAATGCGGGGCCAGTCATCGTCCGAGGGAGCCTGCTTGAGATTCAACGCCTCTAAAACTGGACGTGCGGCCACGTCCCATAGCCACTCTAGCATTTGCTGAACGCGGTACGAGTTGGCGGTGTGCAGCGACTTAACGTGGCTCTCGATGTCTTTAAGCCGCAGATCTGGAAGCTCTACTACACTGATCGGTAAGTCGTGACGCACTAAAAAGGCGTCACATCGGTGGGGGCTGACATTCACAACGACAATAGGGCCAGCAGAAGCTGCTCTCTTCAGTTCGTCTTCGGTAGGCGGAAGGAGAAAGTTTTGGAAGCCGTCTTTTAAGCGAATTTCAGCTAAAACCTCTTCGATCCGTTTCTCAGCCGCCCAACGTCTGTTCTGTTTATAACTACTAGAGTGCGCATCTTCTATAGGAGTAAGAGTGTTCAAATCTATAGATGAGTCTAGTTCATCTCGAAGAGACACAAACTCTTCAGCAAGCTGAGGATGGCGCTGCTCAAGTTCAGAGACATCTGATCGCATCTCTAGCAGCAGGCCTGCAATGACGCCACGGCCGAGCTCGAGGAGCTTCAAGGCATGGTAAGCCGACTTCCCAGCATTGAGAGCAGTGGCGGCTGCCATGGACGCTAGGCCGGCAAATCGTTCTAGCTCATGCTGTTTGTCTGTATGTTGCAGTGATCGCAGGCTCACAGTAGGAAGCAGTTCTACCGCCTCTTCAAGCAGTGTGCTCGAGCGAGCCCAGCTTGATTGTTCGGAGAAATGAGCAGCCACTTTCTGGGCCAGACGAATACGGATTGACGGGGGAGAGCTACGACAGTGCCAGCCTTCTTCAAAGGAGGAGATAGATCGATTGAGGTCGTCCATTGACCCTGTGCGCTCAAACCGCCTGCCGAGCCGGATCCCAAGGTTATTGAGATGCCCAGCTCGATCCGGATGATCCTGAGGCGTAGCACCCACGGCCATGTCGGTAGTTTCGACGGCTCGATTGAGGTCGTCCGTCGACCCCGTGCGCTCAAACCGTGTGCCGAGCAAATTCCCAAGGTTACTGAGACACCGAGCTCGATCTGGATAATCCTGAGGCATAGTATTCACAGCCATTTCAACGGTTGCGATGGCTCGATTGAGGTCATCCATTGACCCCGTGCACTCAAACCGTGTGCCGAGCAAGTTCCCAAGGTTACTGAGACGCCCAGCTCGATCCGGATGATCCTGAGGCGTAGCACCCACGGCCATGTTGGCAGTTTCGACGGCTCGATNGAGCAAGTTCCCAAGGTTACTGAGACGCCCAGCTCGATCCGGATGATCCTGAGGCGTAGCACCCACGGCCATGTTGGCAGTTTCGACGGCTCGATCAAGATCGTCCATCGACCCTGTGCGCTCAAATCGTATGCCAAGCCATATCCCAAGGTTATTAAGACATGCAGCTCGATCAGGATGGTTCTGAGGCGTAGCACTCACGGCCATGTTGGCAGTTTCGACGGCTCGATTGAGGTCGTCTGTTGACCCTGTGCGCTCAAATCGTATGCCAAGCCAGGCCCCAAGGTTACTAAGACGCACAGCTCGATCCGGATGATCCTGAGGCGTAGCGCCCACAGCCATGTCGGTAGTTTCGACGGCTCGATTGAGGTCGTCTGTTGACCCTGTGCACTCAAATCGCCTGCCGAGCAAATTCCCAAGGTTACTGAGACACCGAGCTCGATCTGGATAATCCTGAGGCATAGTATTCACAGCCATTTCAACGGTTGCGATGGCTCGATTGAGGTCATCCATTGACCCCGTGCACTCAAACCGTGTGCCGAGCAAGTTCCCAAGGTTACTGAGACGCCCAGCTCGATCCGGATGATCCTGAGGCGTAGCACCCACGGCCATGTTGGCAGTTTCGACGGCTCGATTGAGGTCGTCTGTTGACCCTGTGCGCTCAAATCGCCTGCCGAGCAAGGTCCCAGGGTTACTAAGGCATGCAGCTCGATCAGGATGATCTTGAGGCATGTCACTCATGGCCTGATTAGTAAGGTCAATAGCTTGATTGAGGTTGTTGATCGATTCTGTGCTCTCGAGTCGCGCTCCGATCTGTATGGCGGTGCTATTCGGATATGCAACTCGACTAGACAGGTCTCGAGATGTAGTATTCACGGCCGTGTTGGCAACGTTGAGGGCTTGGTCAAGGTTGGTTGTAGACTCCGTGAGCTCCACTAGCCGGCTGGGTTCGCTAATACTTCCTCTGTCAAACCTAGATGGACGCGACCGGCCATCACTGTCAACAGTCACAATGTCCACCCTGATCCTATACACATAGTTCACCCAGCCCCGATATTGCGCCTTCGCGTATATTCCCACTCGATCACCTGGTTCCAATGCACCCATAAAACTATCGATGGTGGCTATCGATTGCTGACCAGCTTCCCAGGTAATAGTGTGGTGTCTCAACTGCGCAGAGGCGTGAACATTCCGCTGGATGACGAAAGGCGCTAGGTCTTTGGCGGTTCCCTCATATCGAACTTCAAACCATGTGTAAGAGGCGTCGTAGGTGTTGTGGTGTCTCCAATCGTCGCTCCAGCCCTGATCGTGTGACCAGATCTGGCAGGTAATGCTCGCAATGTGCCCCTGTGGGATTGCGAAAGTCAAATACGGCACGTCTGGACTGTCTTCCGTAAACTCCTGAACATGGCTCTCCATAGCGAGTTCATGATGGAAATATGCTGGCTCCATTGGAGTACCCGATATGCTTGCTGATGGTGAAGAGTGAACAACGAACGGAATCACTCCCCAATGCCTGTTTGGAAGGGCCTTCGGGACAGTAATTTCAGCCCTCGTTTCTGTCGTTGAAGAAGTGTGAACTGTAGCGTCCATTTGCAGACCTTCGGCTGAAATCGGCAAATCATCCAACATGATCTCATCCCACGATTGCTCATTTTCTCCTTCCGCAATAAACGCCATGAAGGTGTCGCATGCATCGTCCGAGTCACTTGCCGTGCTTTTCGGGGGAATGTCGGTGCGAACCTCGATTGGTCCCAAGTACTCATCGGGTTCCAGTCTATCCTTCGTCAGTTTAGATGCGTACTTCTTAGTAACACCCCAAGATGAATTCAGCTCGAAAATTGTGAGCCAAACAAAGGGAGCTGGTCCACTGTACTTAAACCGCAGCCCCAAAGGTTCTCCTTCAATGACATCGAAACTTCTGACGTCGCCGACCTCGACGCCATTCAGTCTTTCAGTACCCCTCGAAAGAAGTATATCAAGCTTCTCTTCTTGAACGCGTGAGGACCGAGGATGAGCCCAAAGCTGCTCAATGTCACGGTAACGGCTGACATGTCGAAGAACATGAGCCAGCTTTGGTATTGCAAGTTCCGTATCCACAGCGATGACAGGGAGCCTCTGGAGCCTGATAGAATTCGTGCTATTCGGGTCGTGCTCCATGATGTCGAATGTATTGTTCTCGTTTACTTTAACGATGAACCTCCCGCGGCCACTAGTTTCAGAGTCCAGAGTAAGATTAGGAGTCCTTGCGAGTTCACTCTCTAGCGCAAGTCTCAGGTTGGCTTCTTCCGGCATGAATTTGACGAACACCTTTTCTCTGAGTGCCCAAGTCCGGAGTACTCCGCTACTCCCCTCAGTCACCCTTGGACCGTCAAGCTTCTGGTCCATAACACGATCAGCCAGCGTGGCTACTGAGTGGAAGCTATCCACCTTCATAATACGAGCCTCATGGGCGAGTCTAAAGTTTCGGATGTCCTCACAGTCAACACCCGAGGGATAAATATCGTAAACGGCGCCAACCGCGACGCACTGGGCACTGCCGACATTAAGACGCACTTTACCATCCCACATCTCAATAACCTGGCAGGTTGGCCGGCTGACGTATTTTTTGGCGCCAAAAAAATCATGGTCGGCATCCCCATACAGAACTGGAACTTGATGTATTTCTTGAGACATACTGGGTATCTCTTTTTCCACGTACTCTCTCACTAGCCTTTGAGTATCACCAACGGATGGTGTGCGTGTAGTATCGTTCTCTTGTAAAAATGGTGCTTGATCCTCATCAGGTGCGATTTTGACCTGTGCCCCGTTGAGAAATTTTGAGATTTGTGCAAAGACATGCTCTGCTGGAAGAAGGTGCACATAAGGACTGAGGTCATATGCTGCATAAATGATACCGCAAAGTCTTCTGCCATAGATCACCCACGATCCAGATATACCACGAGCTATCGAAGTTAGTCGCGACCTTAAATCAAGCATTTTGGTTCGTACAGCATGGGAATTCAAGTTGAATCTTTCTTGTAGACATCACAACTCCTCGAAGGATGATCGATGCCTTTCCTTTTAGCAGGTGTCCCTTCAGCGCCGGCCTGTTGCAGTCGTAGACAATCCAAACAGTTCCGCTGAAACACTCCAGGTCGAGGTGCACTTCTGATACTGATATGGCATCATATGGAGCATCGAGAGTTTTGTATGAATTTTTGAACATTCCAGGTTGGTCTAAATCAATCAAGGCAAAATCTGCCATCTCTGGAGCTCCACCATCAGGAAGTGATAAGTTGCCATTTGTTGTGCCTTGGCCCAAATAAGCAAGGACTTTGGGCGTTCCCATTTTCACCCATAGTGGTTTCAGGACTTCGGCTCCGACGAATATTGTAGAATTCTCAGTCTCCTCGTCCCGATCGGACTCAGTCGATGCGTTCGACTCGTTGTCCGGTTCTTCATCCTCGTCTTTTGAGGTTTCGCTGTCGGCCTCGGTGTTAGTGGATGGAAGATCGCGGTTGTTAGAGCGCTTATGCAGCGGTGGTATAAGACTATGCGCAGTCGTCAACCCAAAGACTTTGTCATTTACTACAACGAAGCCTCCAATCGTCGAGTATCGCTCTGATTCGCCCATCGGATTCGATAATACAGCTTTTAGCTTCAGCCCACAAGCAGAAATCTCGGATTGCTGCATCCAGTATGAAGTTTCATAGCTGCGGTTACTAGAATCAATCTCCATGGGTATCAAAGAGTGCTCCATGGCTGCAGGCCACGGCGCGTGGCGTGATATTATCGGATCGCCCAAGTCGAATCGATCGAGAAAACGGCGAAGATGGGTTATGTTACGGTGTATTTCAAGCTTTGAGACCCTTCTCTTACACCTTTTACTGCCACACCATATCCAGACCATAGGGTTCAACGACACAGTGGATGCTTTCCAAGTGTGTGTTTCCCCAGCCATGCAGAGAACAGGCTCAGTCATAACTTTTTTATCGGACATTGAGCTAGGTAGCGTTCTTGTTCCCCACATTAGACACTTTTCAACCTCCCCTCGAACATTTCGATCCCAGTCCTCGGCAATATCTTCTGGTGGCGGATGCTGTAGCAGAAGCCCAATATAGTGTCCGTCGATGTTGCAGACCTTGCCACTGTTTGTAGAGAGTGTTTTTGTGTAAATTGGAGGCGCCGGCCTGGTAGGTATCTCCGGTTCATCGTCCGATTTCTGCGCGGCAGGTAACTCAGTAGAGGCTGTAGCGGGAAAGATGGATTGCTGCAGATGTTGGCTTTGGCGCAGGTCAGCTGGAGTTTTAAGAAGAATGGGTGTCTCTTGCAAATCTGCTAACTTATTGCCGAATCGCATGGCCACACTAAGAGTCTCCGACTCCCTGGACATAGTGGAAATGATTGCGACGTGCTCGCCAGCGCTGATGAGAGAGTGAGTCTCTATAGATTGCCTCAGCTGAAGGATCTGAGGCATTTATCACGCGACCAGCACAGCCACAGCCCCAATACCCCTCTAAAAAGCAACCATGATAGCTGATGTCTCGCTCACACTGTCAGTCTTATTCGTTCGAGCATCTTCCTACAAGACCTTGCATCTCAACTCTATGCTCTCTAAGCTACTATAACTCCTCAAAATGCCTCACACCGAGTTATCGTTCTCGGAGTCAATTAAAGACGATATCGCGTCCTGGAGTGTGGCTTCGAAATGCGCCATCGTCAACGCCTGTTGGCCACATCTACATTCGTTATCTCACAACTTCGACGAACAAGAGTATTCTGCTTTTTTCGAGATTCTAGGCAGGATATTGAAGAATCTGTCCCCTGCGCGAAACTTCAAGATCCAAAATTTGAACGACCTTATCAAGGCGACCGATTTTCTTGTAGCGAATCGACAACAAACTAAGGGAGCGTTGGTAGCAGAGTTTATTGGCCAGTCAGGTGATGCCAAAGAGGAAGATGTTGTTCGAATGATTGAGCTGGTTGCTCGAGTTCAAGTCGGGATCAATATATGTTCTCAAGGGATGTCTACTGGACGGCAAACTTCTCGTGACACCCCTGTAGAATGGCCACCAGATAAGACTCTCCCGGAAGTAATCGCGACCTTCTTTGAAAACAAGAAAAGGCGAGCCATATCCTCCGATGAGATATTCGACCCCTCATTCACTGCCGCGAAACTGAAAGGAATCTGTCATCTGCACATTCGCTGGACAGATAATCTAGTCGACCATCTAAAACTCGATGGTCGTCCTGGAGATCGAATTCTCTCAATATACCGTCACAAGCTGTTCCTCACGAACCATCGCCATCTCAACTCGCCAAACATTATACCGACAAAGGTCCTGGACGAAGCGATGCGAACACTCGCCCTTCTCTTTCCATCTGGCGACTCTAAGACTATTTCTCTTCTCAAAAAAGAAAAGATCCCTGATTGGTCTATCGTTCCCTCGGAAATCTCGCGGGAGATGGCACTCGATGACTTCGAGTACTGGCGGGGTGATTTAGCACGATTACTAGACCTAAAGCGTGGACCACCAGAGACGATTGCCCAAACACTACTGGACACCAGGGATTTTTCCCAGTTTGCTACTCTGTGGATTGCTATCCTTGGTGTCTTCCTCATCACAGTAATATTTGGTACTTTATCTACAGTATATGCGATAAAGCAGTATCAGATGGCTGTGAAGTCATACGATCTATCTTTAGCTACAGCCTGTCAGCAGTTACCGCAGCTGCCAGGATTCTGCCCTTTGAATGCCCCACCGATATGAGGCGCGATTTGCGAGGCGGATCTCGCTGAAACAGGCCTAACGTTAGTTAGAGTTTCTAAGTACCCATATCTAATCAACTTGCACCCACAAATTGTAAATTTTGAACTCTGTAATGCACCTTTCTGTGCTTAATCCTGACAGTTATTTTATGGAGAACAAACCTTTGTTCCTTTTTTGTGACCCGCGCTGTTGGTTCGCAGGGGGCTTTTTGGCTAAGATTTGGAACAAACTCTTCTCCTCAATCCTTAGTTATGTAAATCAGTTGCAACTTAAGTGTATGGTACAGATAATTCGCGCGCATCTAACTCACTAAGTTTTTATAATATTAACGTGTTTTATAAGCGAGCGGGCCACCTCACCAACATTGTGCACCTCTATATGTATATAGCTCCATCATCATATGACTATCTTAATATATATTAATACAGGAAATCAAGTTGTGTACAGAGTATCTCTCCTACATATATGCGCATTAAAGCCAGTCTCTCTACACCTACTACAACGCGCTCGCCAATCTATTGTCGAAACCAGAGCTATATAGAAGATCAGCTTCAGCCGCTACACAATGCGGCTTGCAGAAAGGTACTAGGAGTGTTTAAAACAGCCCCAGCTACCCCAACAAGTATCGAAGCTAGCTTGCCGTCACCAGCCGTACGGCTAAGCCAAACTAATCGAAAATACGCTCTGCGAGCTATACAACTAGCCCGAACCCATCCAATTACAAAAGCTATTACAAGGCTACAAAAAACAACCCTTCAGCTATCAGAAAAGCCAAACAAGACCAGACAACTACGGGCTATCACGAGCTCCATCCCACCTACCAAAGAGATAGAAGAAATCATCCCATATAGGTTCAAACCATGGGATTCTCTTAACTACAATATCTCTATATCAAAGAAATCTAAAGAAGAAGAGGCAGCCGCACACAAGGATCATATCCAAATGATAGAAGATAACTCTATAGTAATCTACTCAGACGCCTCTAAAACGAAAGACGGAGATGGGATAGGAGTAGGTCTAGTAGTCTACACCCTAAACCAAGAAGAAATCTACGCAGAAACTAAGAATATAGGCGAGAACCAACTTCTTTATAATGGAGAGCTCGAGGGCATTACAATGGCCTTCGAATACGCTGCCAAGGTGGCTCAAAAAGACCAAAGTATCCACGTTTACGCTGATAACCAAGCTGCAATCTACAGGCTCCAGAGTCTATCAGATAAGCCTGGCCAGCAGTGGGTAACGCGGTGCCAAAAAGCAGCTAAAACTATCCAAAACAGAAGAGCGAAGATCTCCTTGAAATGGGCTCCCGGCCATACAGATATCGAAGGAAACGAAAAAGCAGATTCCCTAGCAAAAGAAGCTACAAAACAAACACCAAAAAAACCACAAATGAGCCTAGCCTTCCTAGGCACTAAGATCAAGCTCCTCCAACGAGCTAGCTAAGCAGAAGAGTGGAGAAAGTATAGGGAAAAAAACAAGAGAAAAGAAGACTAGCTACGGAGCTATCTTCGATCTAAAGCTGAAAAACCAACTAGCAATCCCNAGAGGCACGAAAAGAGACATTACAAGCACTTTCTACTCTCTTAAGATAGGACACGGATACTTTAATTCTTACCTAAAGAGAGTAAAGAGAAGAGAATGCGATCTGTGCAAGTGCGGGAGACCGCAAACAGCAGAGCATTTACTTTTATACTGCGGCTTTTACAGCGCAGAAAGAAATAAGCTTAAAAAGACTCTAGACCAAAAAGTAGTTAAACTCCCACTTCTACTCCATACTATGAGCGGTATAGAAGCTACTTTAGCGTTTATTACAAGCACGAGAATAGGAACAAGAAAGTGGCACCTCGGCCAAGAAGGCTAGAAAGAAAAACAAGAGAAATAACAACAAAAGAAAGAGAACAAAGAAGAATAAGTTGTAACTTTATTAGCACTACTTCCTATCCCCTAAGAGAGCACGCTAGAAGGCAGCATAGCTACCCCAGTGGACACTAACCGTGCCAGCGCCGCGCGTAGCCAGTAGTCTATTAGCCATATCGCGCACAGCTACGTAGGTAGGCGAAAATCCACATAGATCCAGATTAAGTATATGATCAACTATTACCTCCTCTTCTAGCTTGGTAAGCTTCTTTAAGTTAGGCTAGCAATCGCGTCGGGCAGGTACACCAGCGCGCCGGCGCTCAAGTGTAGTTTGGGGGACTTTATATGTCAGCGCGGCATCTATATAAGACTAGATTTGGTTTTAGCTAACAGCTGAAATTGCCAGCTATATACCAGCTTCGCGAGAAACGCTTTGAGCTTGATTTGGTGGAGCCATAGTTGATTGAAGTGTAAGAGGTGCGCAAAGTTGGTGAGGTGGCCCGCTCGCTTGTATGGCCCGCTCGCTTGTATGGCCCGCTCGCTTGTAAAATACGTCACAATAGATGTAACTAACTAGCGAAAGTTATTAGATAAAGTATGGTGGGGAGTTGGTGTTCGTGGGTGTGGCCTGCGGCGAGCTAGTTCCCAAGATTATTAAGAAACACAGCTCGATCAGGGTGATCTCGAGGCGTGGCACTCACAGCCATGTCGGCAGTTTCGACGGCTCGATCAAGATCGTCTATCCACCCTGTGCGCTCAAACCGCATGCCAAGCCATATTGTAAGGGGATTCAAATTACTGCCTCTGAGCATCTCTCTAGCTTTAATTGCGTGACCAGATTTGACAGGTACCACTCGGGACATGCTGAGATGGGATTGCGAAAGTTATTTATAGCACCTCTGAACTGCTCTCCGTAATAATTAGACCTGTTTTGCAAATGGAGTACAAGGGTGATCGAGAGCCAGAGAACTTGGGACTAGTACATCTTAGATCTTTGTGATTGGCGGAGTCTAGCAAGGGGCACCCTGAGCCGACAGGGATCTTTTCAAATCCTCGCTTGCACAAAGGGTGAGGGCGGTTTTGCAACTTACTGTATGACAGGTAGAAGAAAAACCGAAACTGTTATGCACAGTGTCGAGGCTAGAAGCCGATTGTGCAAGCGAGTGTATAAGTTAGGGAGCGAGTGTATAAGATGCCCAGGAGTTTGCGATCTGGACGCGTGGGAGAGATGGCAATCTCGACCCCGGAACGCGACCGCGACCGCGACCGCGAAGCGACATCCCTGCCAACCGAGCTACCAGCACCACTGAAGAGGCGCGCAAGAAACACTG